CTTGAAAACAACCTTGCCTTGACCTGAACAATCAAACAACACGCCACCCCATAACAATCTAGTTGAGCAGAGCACGTCCTGCGTCTGACCCCACGGACCCTTCCTTCACTGGCGGCGCAGCCGGCTTGGGGGGCGCTGGCTTGGAAACAGGCAGCGTCTTGATTGCTGGCAGCAAAGTTCCGCAAACGGTGGAGCCGGGCTTAGAGGAAGGAGGGTTCTGTTGTGCGTCTGCAGGCTGTCCTGGCACAGGCTGCTGCTTCACAGGCTGCTGCTTCACCTCAGCGGGGCTCTGGAGCTGCTTTGCTTTGGCAGGCTGTTGGGGTGGCTGGGCAGGCTGCGCAGGGCCAGGCTGCGGCTGTTGCACGGGCTGTTGCTGCTGTTCTGGTCCAGGGTCCTGCGGGGGGGTCTGCTGTCCTTGGCCAGGTGGCTGGAGGGGGGGCTGCTTTGCTCCAGTCACTTGTACAGGGGGTGCTTGACTAGACTGGGGTGGTTGCGCGGCTTGTTCTGGCAGAGGCTGGTGAGCAGGGGCTTGCTCAGGCTGTGCAGGCTGTTGTGCAGGCTGGGGCTGCGTTGGCTGTTCTTGGGCAGGGGCTGGCTCAGGCTGCGGCTGCTGAACGGGCAAAACCTGCGCAAGCTGTAGGTGTGCAGGCTGGGGCTGCGCTGGCTGGCCTTGCTCAGGCTGCGTGGGCTGCTTTGAAAGAACAGGCTGGGGTTGCTGTGAGGTTGACGCAGGCTGCGCTGGCGGCGGCGGCTTTGCTTGAACAGGCTGCGGGTGCTGAACGGGTGGTCCTGGCACAGGCTGCGTCCGGGCAGAAGAAGCTGTCCTTGCGACGGTGAACGGGCTGTCCTGGCACAAGCTGCGCAGGCTGGACAGGCTGGGGCGGTTGTACGAGCTGCGGCTGGTGGGCAGGGCCTGGCGGTGGCTTGCGGTGGCTGCACTTCCTGCGCTTGCTGTGGTACTGGCGGCGCCTGCGCTTGACCGGGCTGAAAGTGCTGTGGCACGGGCTGGCTTGGCTGCAAGTGCTGCGAAGGTCGCACGCTCTGGCCTGGTTGCAGCGGCGGTTGCTGAAAGTGGGCAGGTCCTTGGGCAGGCTGCACGCGCGGGGCTTGGTGCTGCTGGGCTTGCTGCGGCTGGACAGCTGGCGCAAAGTACTGCTCGGGCTGCTGCACTTGCGGAACTGGCACGAACTGCTGCTGCTGCTGCTGCTGCTGCTGCTGCTGTGGCTCTGCTGGAACCTGCTGCTGGGCTGCCACGGCTGCTGGCGCTTGTGGCTGGCGCGAAGGTACGTCCCAGAGCTGCAACGCCTGCGGCGCAGGGCGTGGCTGCGTCGACGACTTGTCCTTGCACAATGAGTAGCTATGAGTCTTACGACTTGCCCATTTACGTAATAAGAAAATCAACAGCTGGCTTTAGTAACTTGGGCTTTGGAATCTTGAAGTGGCAACAAGCTGTCGCGATCAGAGACTCCAGCAGCGCACAGCAAGCGTCAAACCCTGGGCGGTGTCCTGCGTCCTCAAGCGCTTGGCCGCAGGCAAACGCTCCAGGCAGTCGGTGCACTGAGTTGCAAAAGAGTTGGGGCTCATGGGTGCTATTAAATAGGAGTTCTCGCAAGTTCTCGGCCGTGAGCTGGCTATGATTAATTACGCAGAGATTGATCCGAACTTACTTTCGGACAGTGCGCTCAGGCCCAACACCCCCATTCTCGAAAATGGGATTTTGACAAAACCCCCCCTTCTGGAAGCCTAAATGGGGGCTTGCCACATACCAGTTCCAGGACGAAAATTTATGGATGTGGGCCCCAGACATCGGCATGTGGAGGAGACTCGGAGTTTAGTCATGTTGAGGCCCAAGCCAGTACTCGAGCGAGAAAACAAGTGCTACTTCTCCAGCATCGTGCCCATGTACTTACTGCAGAAAGGTGGAAGTTGAGGCAACTCTCCAGATTGGAACAACCGTTAAATCATTAAAGCAAAAAAAGGCCCCACGCTTGCTTTCTTGCAAAGTACTCCACACGTCATCCGTTCATACTGTTTTGGACAAGATCCCGCATGACTTTGGGCACCTTAAAGTATACAGCCAGATATGGCCATGCGAAACCCCAATGACGGGCCAGGCCACATAATCCCCAACTGCCCGAATCACTGCACCCTGACAGACCCTAAACTTCACAACCTAATTCGGGGTTGGCCTTTAAAATTTGGGGTGTCTCAGCCACACAGAATCAAATTCTACCGTTTCCAAATGGAGCCCCACAACCGCATCGACCATTTTTCAAGACCAAAAAAAAACTCGGACACGCGCGCCACGCCAACCCAACGCCATGCCCCGACCGGCCCCCGAAGCACCGCCGCCATCACAGCGCCTCGCCACGCCACCGCCCCCACCCCCACCTCCCAGCAACAAATCAAACTTGATTTCCAGACCACCTGCATCGCCCTTGCCCAGCGAAAAGTAAATTTGGTGACATTCGGGGTCGTTTTGATTGCATCTGGCTTTGCGAAATATGGTAAAAATCTGAGGAGCGCGCGCGCGCGCGCTCCTCAGATTTTTAACATATTTTGCAGACCCAGATGCAATCAAAACAACCCCAGATGTCACCAAATTGACTTAACTTTCTAACTGATCCAGGATTTTGATGCTTCTTAAGGTGTTTAGGGCTCAGGGCTGCAGGCTCAGGCAGTTTAGGGTTCAGGGTTTCGGGCTCGGGGTGTTAAACGCTCAGGGTTTACGCTCGTGAGCATCGGACTTGGGAGCTGCAAACTGTGGCCAAAACATGTTACTCGCACGGGAGCTGTTGAAGCCTCAGACCCTCACATCCAAATTATAAACCCCAACTGCATAATCTCCTCCCCTGATCATAACCCCCCCTCAATAATCAATTCATCATGAATGCAGTTTAGTGACCAATAACGTCTAATACATGACTGAGAATGGGTGTATCAATGGGGAGCGGGGATTCTATCATTGGGGATACGACTTCCATGGCTGGTACACAGCAGATTCCTTATTTTGCCAACGAAGGCCACTAAGTTAACTCCCCAAATGCCTGAGGTCCAAACCTGTCAGCCTGGAAAAGCCAATTACCGAATCAGAAAGGAGAGCCACTGGCACAAGAATAACAACAAAATCGTCATCACCATCATCATCATGATTGCTAGCATCATCCTCAAGAACAACATCGCCATCGTCATCATCAACAGCAGCAACAGCAGCCACAACAACTGAACCAATTACCATGGGCTGGGCCAAGCGTCCCAGGATGACATGTTCATGTTCTCACTCTGGAGGAAGTAAGCCTCTTCGTCCTCAGAGTGCCGAATTTCCCAATCGAGGCTCGCATTCACGGGCAGGGCAACAGATCGCTGAATCCTGCAGCCATTGTTGTCGAGCTCGTGGAGGAAGGCTTCCCCTTCCTCACCGTGCTCGATGATAAAAGGCTTGAAGCTCACTGTCTGTGTGCTGAATCCGCTTTTGCGGGACGTATTGCCATCACTCATCTCCTCCTGCAAGCCAGCTGAGCTGGCGCAAAACTGCATCAGCACCATAAAACGCATGCGCAGCTGCACTGGCTTATGTTCATCTCAGCAACCGTCCTGTGTAATGTAGCAAAGCAAAACCCAATCTGTTGAGGATGTCACGGCGTGCCCGCTAGTAACCCTTTGATATCCCTTGATGAATTTCAACTCAAGATCTGAAAGGTGTCCTGCGCCTCTTGAACGGGTGGCAAAGTTGTCTCCACGTCTTCAGCGCTTGGCACTGCTATGAACTCCGACAGCCACTTGTTTTCCACACCGTTAGAAATGAAGGGGGCACGGTTCCTAGCACGTAAGTCACACTCACAGAACACAAGCTGATTTTCAGCATGACTGGACACTGTTGTCTCCAAAGCATCAAATGGCGGGCAAGACTCTTCTTGTCGTAGAAAACCTTCCTCAACCACGCACCCCCCACATTGGGCGGGTCCAGCCAGACCGCCATCTGCCCGTTCGAGGCCGCTAGAGCCCCGTTCGCCTCATAGATGCTGAGCTTCTCAAGGATGGCATCCCTGATTCTCATGTCGCGCCGAACATTTTGGATCACAGACTCCCCGCGAACTTAGCTGCGTGTCAGCTATAAGCTCAGCAAGGCGAGCAACGCGCAAGCAAGCAAACTCTTCTAAGCAACCCGCAACAAACACTGCGTGCGCAGCTCAGAGGCTCTGCTCCCTGGCAGGAACCTTCCCCTCGCTCGCCAGCCGGAGGTACTCACTGAGCAGCGTCGCAACCAACGAGCCAGGGCCCTCGCCTGAAGCAACCAACTATTGACTGTCAATACCATTTGATAATATCAAACTTAACCCCAACATTGCAGACCAGATGCCTCCGCCAGTGACGATCGGTCTGTCGTCTGGCCCCTGCTGCGTAAAGTAGCCGATGAGTTCCGACTTCTCCGCTTGGGAAAGCCCACGCAGCACAATCAAATTAAAATGATGATCGTGCACGCCTGCCAACACTTTGTCCATGACAGCTTCGGGAATCTCTCGCATGCGCGCAGCTTGTATGGGGCTGTTCCCCACACTTTTGGGGCCACGGCTTAAAGCCTTGCCAGGCGCGTCCTTCTTGGCAGTCTTGCCTGAGCTGAATAATCAGAAAATAATGTCTGTCCCAAACACTAGAGGGCACCATCAAAAGTGGAACGCCAGGGCACGTCGCGGTTGGGCTGATTCCTCGCCAGGTGGAGGAGGCGGTGGCATCATCCACGCCCCACTTGGAAAGCCAGGCATTGGAGGCGCCTTGGCCCCAACAGCACTGCCGCCAGGCACCAAGCTCGGCGCAGGCATTGGAGGCTGCGGCTTGTGATACATGGCGCCGGCGGGCCGCACGTGCCACTTGCACCCTGCCCCAAAAGCACAACCTTGAGACTTGAGACCTTGAGCGCCTGGCTCGGATTTAATCACAAGCAATCCGCCTTGCAGAAAGCAGTAACTCAGTAGCAGGCAAAGAGAGCCGGGAAACATGTTTCATTCACGATTGCTCCTGTCGTCTTTCAGCCCAGCACAGGCTAGCGCGCAGACTGTGAAGACACCTATATTAGCTACATGCTGTGAATTGCCCAAAGCTTGCGCCAGCTGACGATGACTCAACCCAGGATGAAATACCCGGAACGGTGCCACCCCAGCCGCAGCAGCGCAGCCAGCAAACGTGCAGAACCCCATAGAGCCATAAAGTTCCTTCAAGAGGATCTGTCTGTTTGCGCTGACGTGCCAGTAAATTCCGGAGCTGCGCCTTATTGTTGGCAGCTTCCCGGAAGCTGATGACCAGGTGCACCAGCCAGTGGCTGGTGCGTCACCAAGGTGACACACTAAGTCCTCCCACTGACATTTATGGCCAGCACCGTCGCGCCACGCCATAACATAATCTGTGAGCCTCGTAGCTTCCTGGCCATTCAGCAGTGCAACAGGCTGCAGGTTTGCCCTGTCAGGCAAAGGCACGCGCTTCAGATGTGAGCGGCACCAGCTCAAGTGATACACGTCCTCGCGAACCTCGTCAGGACTAGCACAGAGGAGAGTTCGAAGGGACAATGGCGGTTCGCGCTTCAGCTTGCTCTGGACTTCCTCCAGCAGAGTCCTCAAGTCATACAAGGTTTCCGTCGCTGCGACATCGGTAATCGCGAAGAACTTCCTGCAGTTGCGTTGCGTACAGAATGGTACGGTTTTGCATGTCGAAGAACTCAGCGCATGGACTCTTCTAGTAAGGGTTGGGGAACTAACGAATCACTGCAACACTCATCTTGAATTAAAGAGCCTGTCCTGGGGCGAGCTACGCAATCGAAGCCAACATCTGATGGCGACTGCGCGAAAGATGAAAGTGTGTAATCTGGGCCAAAAGCATCCGCGACAACCTCCTCAGGGAGCCCACAAACGTTCTCCAATACTACCAGGGCCGAGCGCGTCAGCCGAGATTTTGCTCCAGCCGCCAACATTGTGGGGAATGTTGGGCCAGAAGCGCCTCTGCGCAGCCCAGCTGCCGAGTAGTCAGGGCAGGGAGGACCCTGTACTCTGACGTGGCATCCAGCATTGTAGGCGCACTGCCGCTGGTGAGTGTAACAGAAGCCCGTTGAGCGCAGGGGCCATCCATGTGCGCAACACAGGCGCTCCTCATATGTGAGGTCTGCAAGCGATGCCTGAACTGCATCTGGGTCTCCCCATATCTCTAAAATGTTGCCAAATTGGCAAAGGTCTGCCGGCATGTGAAAGTTGCTGCACAAGCGCATTGCTGGGTCTACTTCCTTAGAGAATCCGGAAGGAACCAATCACAAAACAAATTCAGCTTCACTTGTAAACGGGCGCCTAAAAACTTTTCCCGGCTTCCTCCAATTGAATGAATGGGAGAACAAGCGTCGCAGGTCGTGCGTGGCTGAAGCCACAACGACAAGGGTTGCGGCTGCACACGGTGTGCGGCAGCCTCCACCATTGAGCAGGCGTGTTCCCAGGCACAAGCCCCTCCAGTGAAGTCGCTGTCGGATCCTCGAGTGCAACATAGCAAGGATCTTGGCAGCGAAGGGCCCAGGGTAGAAGCCAGGGTTTGCAACGTCACCTCCGGCCAGAGAAAACGACCGGCCAAATCATGACGGCCGGCATGATGCATTGCCCGAAATGGCGCAGTTCCCTATGCTTTAGCCCGGTGTCAGCACGATGTAACAAGCTACTACGAACCCTTGCTCGAACTTTTGAACTTCACACAAGCCCAAGCGCACACTGCATTGCTGCGCAGGTCTGTGTGGCCTGTGTGAGCCAGTAGGCAAGCTCGCGCGCGCGTGCACACGCACACACACACACAAAGTCCGAGAAAACATGGGCAGCAACATCACCACACAAGGGCCAACCGTGCTGAGGCAATGTGTAGCTTGGCCCTGCACCTGGTGTGGCAGGATTGCCCCAAGCTCCGTCTCTGGAGAGAACACGGCCAGGAAGAGGCACTTGACCCCGGCACCATGTCCGGCATCGAGAGAGACCTGTGCGTGGGCAACTTCAGGCACAGGGTTAGGTACGGGCCGTTTCAATTCAAACCCCATCAAAGCTGGGCGACGGCAACTGGGAGATCTTTGTTTTAGTTGCCAAGGGTCATCTTGACTGTAGTAGCTTTGAATATTGCACTAACGCGTGTTTCCTTCAACGAAAACAGATGAAAAAGGAGCCCTTTGGGGGTATGTTGTTCGAACTAGGAGGGGGTGAGGGCAGCGCTGCCGGCTGAGGCGGGTGCCTGATTGTAGACACAGTCTGCAAATTCCGAATGCGCCCGCGCCCTGTACACGGAGCCGAACTCCTACAATCTGTCAAACACATTGTCCCTGGTAGCTGCGGCTTCACCCCACATGATTTCTGCAGCTTCTTACCTCAAGAAGCAAAACATCTCCCGCTAGCTAGCTGGGCCCGTGAGAGCAACAACGCGTCGCATCAGTTCTGCTCGAATACTATGCTACTGGTGGACAGTTTGTTGGATAGGTCCTACAGCGTTTAGGGGTAGGTCCTTGTAGCAGGTCAGCCCAAAGCGTCGGGATATCCCGTTCAGCTCCAATGTGTCCTCCAACTTTCGCTTGCCGTGCTCCTGCCACGAAATGGTGAGTAGGCTAGGAATGGAATCGTAAGCTAGCGTACAAATCTAAATGGGCGGTGACTTTTGGATCCGCTTAGCAAAGCATTTCTGCTTGGGGAGTGGGGTTTAGGGTTTAGGGCCTTGAATGAACATTTTTCAAATCAAACTGCCCCGTTTCCTGCTGCATAGCACAAATCATCTGACCCACGAACTGCCTGTCAACAAAGCGGGAAGCATCCCCTGATCGGGCGCTTGCTTCAGTCAAGACAATGCCAGACATCAGCGACAGCAACTCGTCCACGGATGCTCTCAGCAAATTCATTGCACTGGCTGTGCATGCGTCGCTTCCAGTTGCCGCGCCACACAGCAACAGAGCGGCAGCCAGTTCTGGAACAGTCGGCGTGGCCAACTCAGTTGTGGAAAACAAGTGCTCCAGAAACTACAGTTAGCAACCCCTGACACTCACAAAGTCACACAAGGACATGCAGCAGCTTTGGCGTCAAGGGCTGTAGAATCTGGGGCGCCCACGTCCATGGTCAACAGCCTTTCTGCAGTTGGCACTGAGGCATCTTGGTCGGCTTCTTGCTTACGGGCACGTTGAAGCCACTGATCAAAGTCACGCCACCATTGTAATCGTTGAAGGTGCACAGCGCTACCTGCCTGCACCCGTCCCCCAGCAATCGGCACATCCACCTCAAGCCACACACAGGGCAATGGGACTCAAGAGCGCACCTCTTTTCATTTGCCATGGCACATGGACGAAGCGAACAGAAGTCAGACGCTCGGAGTTCTTGACGGGATCTAGCCAGTCTCGCAAAAGCCGCGCAGCCCTCAGCTTTTTCAGTGATGGAAGCAAGGCTACGCAGGAATCTCATGGTGTGTATTTATGGTACCGAGCAGCTTCAGAGCCGTATCCGCCTCGCGCCGGAAACCGACGACCCAAGATACAAGCTGAGCACATAGCATAGAAGTGGATGAGACTGTCTCAGCCACTTGGTCTTCCAAGGTAGCAGCATCAATCAACGTCGGATCATTCACAGTTTTGCGATTGCCAGCAGCTGATTGGACCTTAGCGCTCATCGCTACCTAGCTGATAGGGCCTAAATCGTGAAGTCTTTCGAAACTGCATGGAAAGTAAGCTCCCAACAAAGATTTTGCAGTTTGGAACTCCGGGGAATAGCTTCTGGTGGGTGTTCAAAATGACTTTCTCATTTCTCTTCACAGTCGTGCCATATCGCCTGATCGGCGATACGCAGCCACACAGCTATCAAGCAATTACATGCATTGCGGCAATGGGCGCAACAAGATACCAGCGAATGTTGCATGATTGCATATGTCCAGGCTGGCCTTTGCGTGTGGCCGTACAGGACATTGAAGAGTGGCTGGATTGCCCATAGCGCAACGTTTGTCGCACTCACAATATACACTGCAAGGTCTGGGCACGACCCAACAGCTGGCCACGTTGCTCTCGCAGCCATGCTGCGCTGAGCCAAAGTGTGATGGACATGGGTTTTAGCAGCCTCATTGCTAGGAACATGCTTCACGCGATTCCAATTTGTTGTCGAACTGGCTCAGATTTCAGCAGCAACGTTACCCGAAACCATCAGTAGCTTGAAGGCTGCACACTCGGGAGAAGCCCTTGCAAGGGCAAATCTTGGAGGGACCCTTAATTGCTCCAAAATATATAACCTATATATATGAAATGGTAATCAGGGGTCCCTTGCAAGGGTCCCTCCAAGATTGCTTTGAAAACCCCAAAACCCTAAAACCCTAAAACCTAAAACCCCGAACCCCTTTCAATGACTCTATGAGTCAACCCTAGGGCTTCGAGCCGTTCCAGTTCCAGGAGGAAGCTCTCTTTCTAGACTGGGTTGCTGGAAAACTGGGTTGCTGTAAAAGAGCTGAAATGATTTTAGGGTTTAGGGTCTAGGGTACCATAATATGGGTATATCGTAAATAATAAGAAGGTTACCTTCTTGTGGTAACTTAATTAATTCTTGTTCCTTAAGAGCAACGCGGTAAACAATTCACCTACCCTCTATTATTCCCTAAGTACCCGAAGTTAGGGTCCCCATATCCCGAACTAAGGGTACCCGAAACTCGAAACCCTCTGTCCACCAATCAGGGCAACCATAAACCCTAAACCCAAGCGTCCTTATTTTCCTGACGTTTCCCCAGCCCCAGCCCACAGGCCCAAGTGTTCATAAGTGTCCAACAGGGGTTAGGGTTTAGGGTTTAAGGTTTTAGGGTTTTAGGGTTTTAGGGTTTAGGGTTTAGGCTTTAGGTGACAAGTACAAAGCACGCTTGAAGCACCATCCCTGTCAAACGGGGGCGCCCCAGGAACCAGGGACCTTATGGGTACTTTTGAAGGACTACATCGGGACAATATACAGGGTTCAGGGGTTAGGATTTAGGGTTTAGGTAGGGGCGGCAGTCTTTTGTTGCAGCAGCCTCAAGACGTGTCCAATGCTGCGAGTGTCAACATGATAACTGATAAAGCACTCAAGTACTCGGTAACGATCTTCCTAAGCCCCGAGTGTCATCTGCAGGTGTAGTTTTACAAGAGCCTGGGCCAGTACCTAGTGATAACTTGCGTTACTCCCTACCGAACTGAAGTGTTTCCAACCTAGATGAACAAACAATCAAAAACGAGACCAGTAGGGGTTCTGCTTTGCGTTTCCTCTATGCCTCCACCCAAGAAAAACGCGAAAGTTAGTGCGCCATACTCCACATGCGACTTCCTGAGCATGAAAATACACGAAAGCCCTAATCCCGAAGTCCTAAACCCAAAGTTGTAAGTCCTAAACCCTAAGCCCTAAGCCCTATTCAGACCCCTAGAGTATCTTGCCATTCTCAGCTCCATTGGTTTCGCATTAAGGGGCACAAGGTTGCACGAGCGATGATGCAAAGCATCCTCATGACCCTAAGTACCCCATTCACTGAGGGAGTGAAACAGTTTAGGGTTTAGGGTTTAGGGTGTAGGGTTCATAAGGTTTATAGGGTTTAGGGTGTAGGCTTTAGGGGTTTATGATAGAAAGCAGTTTAACCCCCCAGTGGTGTACCCGGTCAGGTGCCTCGTGCTCAATTGCCCCCAAATGCTTTCAAACGAGCTTTAAAGGCCCGAATGAAAGCTATTAGTTCTCAAATGCCCTCGATTGCCCTCGAATGCTCTCGTTTGAAAGCATTTGGGGGTAATTGGGCACGAAGCACCTGACCGGGTCCAGCAAAGGGGTTAAACTGCTTTCTATGAGTTTAGCATTGCAAGGTCATGTTGTGAGGTCATGCAGCATTTTCAGCATCCACGGAGTCAGCCCTACGTCCTAAACCCCGCCTAGACCCTAAACCCTAAACTCCAAAGCCTCAACCCGAAACCCTAAACCCTAAACCTGAACCCTTAACCCACAAACCTAAACCCTAAACCTTAACCCAACACCCACAACCCTAAACCTGAACCCTAAATGAAAGATTCTGAAAAAGACCTCTGCGACAACAGCAAGCTGAGCACTTCACAAGGTCACCGGTCCGGTTGGCCTCTCATAGCACAAAAGACTGCGCTGCTGTTAGGGAACTTAAGTTGAGCCACTAGAATAATGAGACCCTATCAATTACTATATACCCACAATATGGTAACTTAATTTGAATTCCTTAGATTCCTTAGTAGCAACTCCGAAGAAAACGACATCTGAATCTGGATCGTTTCTTATCAACATATGACTTGAAAGGGCTGTGGGAAAATTAATCATCCGAAGGTTGCACGAGGGAGGCCCTTGCCGCATCAAGCTCTACCGTTACGCCTACCTCCCAAACCTTAAACCCTAAACCCTAAACCTTAAACCCCAAACCCTAGACCGGTAAACATGTCCAAAGTCCAAACATGC